CTCTCTGTCATGACCCGTCCGTCTTGGGTGGCCCTGCACGGTATTGCTCATGGCTTCACTGAGTTACGCAAGTCCCTTCGCCACGACAAGGCAGTGATCCATGAAGGGGTCTTGCTTCATATTTATTGGTAAATAAAATGCTTAGCACTTAGCTATGTTGGCAAATCTCAGAAAATCTAAACAGGTGCAGATATGGTTAGTATTTGGAAATTCCAGAGTTGTAGGCTAGACTAGAATGTTGAAAATGGAAGAAAGCTGTAGCAAGCAACTTCCACACTATTGCCAGGGAAATGGCCATGCTTACTGACCATGCTTACTGAAGTAGCCATTTTGTGATAGTGCCTGTAACATATCCTCAAGATTCCAAGTGCATCCACCTGACCCAAAAGATGGAGATTTTTCAAATAGTAATAAAGTGCCCAATTTCCCAACACATATCACATTCACACATCATATTCATGAGGAGTATCCCAACTGGTAACACACAAAATGATAAATAGTTTTTACAGTTGTCTATTTGTGAATGAATTTTTTAATAAGACACAAATAATCAATCATGAAAAGAAGCAATACGCTGCCTATAGTGTTGAAAAATTCAGTGCAAAAAGAGTGCAACCATGTGATTTTTTAAAAATTATTCATATATATATCCTACAAACGATTATGTGCCATCAAGTCATTTTTGACTCCTACCGACCACATATCTAGATTTTCTCCATGTCAATCTGTCCCTAACCTGTTCTTTCAAGTCTCCCAAAGGTGCACTCATCACTACTGTAACTGAATCCCTCCATTTTGCTGTTGCCTGTCCTCTTCCTCTTCTTTCCTTCCACCTTTCCCAGCATTAGAGCCTTTTTCAGAGAGCTGGGTCTTTGCATAATGTGTCCGAAGTAGGATAATTTGAGCCTGGTCATTTGTGCCTCAAGTGAGAACTCTGGGTTGATCAATGATCCAACGGTTTGTTTCCTTGGCTGTTCACGGTATTTTCAGGCATCTTCTCCAACACCAAAGTTCAAAGGCGTCAATAGTCTTCCTATCCTGCTTTTTCAAAGTCCAAGTTTCACTTCCATAGAGTATCACAGGGAATACCATGGCTTGCATGATTCTCATCTTTGTAGGTATAGACACATCACAGCATTTAAATATCTCTTCCAAAGTCTTCATGCCTGCTCTACCAAATGCTAGCCTGCGGCGTATTTCTTGACTGCTGGTTCCTTTAGTGTTGATGGTTGATCCTAAAAGGCAGAAGCTATCCACTACTTTGATATATTCATTGTCAATTCTGATTGTTCTACTTGTTGTCACTAGTTTGGTCTTTTTTATATTTAATTTTAGTCCCATTTTTTCACTGTGCTCTTTGACTAGGGCTTACAGATCCTTTGCATTTTCAACTATCAGGCTAGTGTCATCAGCATAGCGCAGGTTATTGATGTTTCTTCCTCCAATTTTAAAACCACGCTCATCTTCTTCCAATCCAGCTTTCCTTAATATATATTCAGCATATAGGTTGAATAAAAAAGGAGAGAGTATGCAGCCTTGTCGCACTCCTTTGCCAACCAGGAGCCAGTCTGTTTCACCATGTTCTGTATATAAGGTTCTCATGAGGACAATAAGATGTCCTGCGATTCCCATTTTTCTGAGCATTTTCCACAGCTTGATATGATCAACATAATCAAAGGCTTTTCTATAATGGATGAAGCATATAGTGACTTCTTTTTGATATTCTTTGGCTTTCTCAATTATCCAGCATTCATCATCAATAATGTCTTGTGTTCCTTAGCCTTTTCTAAACCTAGCCTGAACATCTAGCATCTTCTTTTCCATGTAGGGCTCTAATCTGCATTGGATGATCCTAAGCATTATTTAGCTAGCATGTGAAATTAAAGATATTGTATGATAGTTTGCACACACTGTTAAGTCTCCCTTTTTTGGTATTGAAATGTAGACTGACCTCTTCCAATCAGTTGGCCACTGGGTTGTTAGCTTAATGTAGTTTATGAAACCAAGACTCACGTAACCAGGGAAAAAATAAGGCCAACACACTATGGCCAATAGGTTCCCTCAAAGGTTGCCTTCCTCTCCCTACAGAGTTACTTCACACAAGAGATCAATCTATAGCTTCATCTGGGCCCCTCCTAATGTGTTACACATGCAACTCTCAGAATAATCTATCCCGCATCAATGCATGGGAAACAAAATGAACCCTTTTGTGTCCTTCTAATGTACTATGATTGGGTCTCTGCAGGGAGCAGGACTGGGAGGCCAGGACTGATATGAGCCAGAAGTGGCCATAGATACAAAGGATGCACAAGAGTGTGTCAACCAACACAAACTGATCCACAGTTCGTGAAGAGGTTCGTTACTTTTGAGGAAGTGCACCTTAGTCAAGTTTGGGAACAACAGGAACATTGCCTTGCTGTTGAAAACAAAAATATTTTCAACATTGTGACAGCTGCTTTAGAACAGAAACAAATATTCATTATGGCTGCAGAACCATGCCTTTATCAATTCCTAAAAATTGTATTTTGTGAATCAGTGACACTGAACATAAATGTTCCATTTAGCTGTTAATGGCTGATAAATTATTATTAGTAGGGAGTAGAGAACTGAAGGGGGAAAATGGAAAGCAGTGTCCAGAGTAAAAAGATGCAATTGGAAAGAATTCCAGACAGGTTCTGCTTCTTTATACTAATAGTTATCTCAGGTCTCAGATCCCAGTTCTTATCATAGCCAAAACGAGGGAAATACCAGCAGTTTGAGGAAGTCCCAAGGTTTGAGAAACCCCCTCTCATACATACCTCAAAAACTGAGCCAAGTGAAGCCTGAGTATTCTCATTGAACATGGAATGCTCAATTCTCAGATTGGATCATTGTGTAAAAATGGTTTGTGATAGTAGAAAGAATCCCGGGGATCCTGAACAGAAGCATTTAACACTACTTGTGCTTTCCAAATGTCACCTTAAAGCCAACTCAATTGACGTGGCAAAAATTGTGAGCCAGGCACATGTAGTTCAGATGGTAAGTTCCCATACCACCACTACTAGCTTCCTTAAGATTTGATTTGCAGAGATCATCTTGCAATGTGGAGATCAGATTAATTTCTGCCAACATTCTCTATAGCTCTGTCCTAATATCTCTTCTCACTTCCAGGGCTTAATTCTAAATTGTCTACAGCCAAAACAAGGTGTACCTTCAGCAGATGCATGTTGATTTCCTTACAAGTGAATCATTAGAATTTCAAAAACCCATGTTAAGGAAGGCTTCAGACAAGATACTACAAAAAGCAGATTTGGCTATGTGGGGAGAAAGACTATGGGCCTTGTGGTTCATTTAAAATGTTATACACCTATACTTGAGGCTGACTATTAAATCAAAAAGTATGTCATTCACAGTGACACTGTTATGCAAATGACATAAAATGGTGCAAATGCAACGAAAACCCATCTGCTACATCCAAAGTCTGTTACATCAAAATTCACTAAATCAAAGTTTTATTATACTTTAAAACCAGAACAGCTAAGAACTACTTAAGGCTGCCTCAGGAATGGTGTAGAAATGACGAATATTTGTGGACCAAAAGAGGTTGCCTATATCACAGAACCAGAAGGATCCTCTTTTGAATATTTACACTGTTCCCACATTTCATCTGTCAATTTCCCAGTTTTAACACTACTAGCCTTTCTTCCTCACTCCAACACGCTGGGTGTCAATCAACCTTTCCTAACATCTTCCCAATAAAGAGGTCTGGAGATCTCAAAACTTGTTGATATTTGTGATGTCTCCATCAACCTTATAACTGTATTTTCTTAAGTATGACTTCATTTTTATAGCCTTGTGAGGTAGATGGGACTCATGACTGGTCCAAAGCACCAGAAAACTTTGCACTCTTCCTGCAGCTGTTTTATTTTTTGTAATTATGGAAGGTTGTCTCAAGAGGATCAAGGATCAGAAGATGGCAGCCTTTCCTCACCCCCACTTTTATCTTCACAGCAACCTATTTCTGTCCGTGAAACTGGAAACAAGGTCTGGATTCGCTCATCTTGCTTCAGTCATAATGAGGTTTGTTTGCTCATACAGTATGCAATATGCTAAACTGGTTAATGACTGACCCAGAGAAGTTTTGGGCTGACTAAAGATTTGAAACTGGCTTTTGAGTTGTCTTCGCAGTCCTATTCGGACACTTCGCTAGTACACCAAGTCGCCCCTGAGTTTCGGGGGCATCCCTCCCTATGACCCAGAGGTCGCCGTGGGTGGTAATAAACCGGTCCTTGAACCTCTCCCGCTCGCACAAAAACAGCCCGATCCTTCCAGCGGGCTCCCCACGTGAGCCCCTCACCTTTATTCTTCCCCATGGTTTCAACACCCGCTGTAGTCCCGCATGTAGTTGGTAACACGGCAGCAGCAGGAAGGCGCGGGTTGCTGGCTTTCCCCGGGCCCGGCACTGAGCGCCCCCAGCACCGCGCCCAGCCTACCAAGGGACAGCTCCGCACGACGGCGGGCCGACGTCACCGGGAGGCTTTTTGACATCACGACGCTGGGATTCTGTCCCGGGCCTGGCCGCCGCCGTTTTGCGGCGAGCGCCTCCAGAGAGCGCCTCTGCTCGTTTGTCTCCTGGGGGAATGTCCGAGCCGTCCCCTCGTTAGCCACGATCCCACCGCCCCTGGGGAATGGGCTGCAGGACAGCAGGCGGGAAAGCCGGAGGGCGGGCTGATCAACTAGGTGCGCAGCCGGGCAGGGAGTCTCCAGTTCAAAAGCTGCCTTGGAGCTCGAATTCAGCCAGACCCCGAAGGCCTCGCTCGTGGGCAGAGAATGGCGCCCTTTCACGCCTTGAGCCTTTTGAGGGGTGGGAGGCTGGGGGTCACGCCAACTGCGTGAGCCGGACCCCATCCAAGGAGCGGCTCCATCCTGCGTTTGCAGTGATTCCATGGATCAGTATTTTTCATTCAAAGTAGCAAAACTTGCAAGGTACAAAAGAATGCCAAGAGTTAGTTCAGGTTTCCTTCCTCACCTCGATTACTGGGCTACCGACATCGATGGGCAAAAAAAATGGAGGAAAAAAAATTTATACTGAGGTAGGATACAGCCGAAGAGGTGGACGCAGAGGGGTCATATGAACATTTGGCCCTCAGATCTGCGGCGTTGTTAAAAGGACCTGATCGTGAGGAAAGAATTAGGTTCCTTTTCAAATGCAGGCCTACAGCCCTGCTAGATTGAATGCGTGCTCCCTGAGGAATTAGCCCCAGCCCCTGTTGGCAAAACCAGCAGACTGTATCGCACCTTACCCTTGGTCTTATTTTTAAATATATATAAATATATATTATTATTATATTATATATATAATGCATCTCGAATAACCAGCAAGTGTAAAGTATCATATGGCTAATATACAGTATGTGGTTGACCCAACTGGAATCGATAAAAGGAACAAGAAAAACTAATAATATGTTTTAAAAAATAATGTAAGTACTCTAGAACCCACATGATGTTTTAAAAATAGTGTAAAAGACTCTAGAACCCACATTTGTGATGTAGCACAATTCCATGTGTAGAATGATAGTCCTGAAACAGTTTCAAAATAAGATTAAATTGTGCATCACATTTATTTTTGAGATACGAAGTTACTCTAGACCAATGTTTCTCAACCTTGACAACTTTAAGTTGTGTGGACTTCAACTCTCAGAATTCCCCAGCCAGCATGCTGGCTGGCGAATTCTGGGAGTTGAAGGCCACACTTCTTAAAGTTGCCAAGGTTGAGAAACACAGCTCTAGACATTGAAGCACATTCCTATATTCCTACTGTTAAACCATTCTTCCATAGAGGTGATCAGAGATCTTTTCCAATAAAAAGCATATAATACTTTTTCAGCTTTTATCATATACAATGCCAATTCAGTATATTTTGAAGGAATTTGTGGCTTGGTGAAGTTCAATAAAAATGTCTCTGGTTGGAATGGAATTAAGACTTTCAAAATTTCTTCTATGCTACAATGAATTAATTCTCAGTACTGTTGAGTTTTGCAACATTGCCACTACATATGGAAGGAAAATCCAATCTGCTCATTGTATTTCCAGCATTTCAGGGAAAAGGAGCTACTAATCATGATAGCTGATCTTAGACAAAAGGCCAAGAAGCAATCCAGTAAGATTATATGAAATCAGTTCTTGAGTAAGTGCAAAGATCTTGTGGAAATAATTTTCAAATGGACTAAGGTTCTGACACCTTGGTTTTTCTCAAAATTTAGTTCTAATCTCAGACTACCTCCAGAAATAGTTGTACCACTGCAAGATTAACTCAGAGTTTGTCATACCAGACTTTCATCCCTGTTGGTCAGCTGAACTAATTTATTTTCAACTGCAGTATAGCTGAAATTGCTGAAAAGCTAGTTTGCTTTTTTCTTTTTTTGAGACACTGCAACTCTCTCAAGTTTATTGGCAAGTGCTTACCATTTGCAGAAACTTTGCTCACCACACCTCCCAGCTTCTGGGCTGCAGCTGTGCTACCATGTCTTTCAAAGATAGCATAAAAGTTTTTCTTCACCCTCCTCAGAGGAAGTAGTGGGATGCAATATGAAGTAAGGAAGGATACATATGGGGGATTTCCCTTAGAATGGAGAGGGAATACAAACTTTTTGTTGCTGTAGGAATTGACAGAGTGTTCAGTGATTCTTTGTTCTCAGTGCAACTCAATAGAGGTGAAGATAATTGAACATCAATTTCAAACTACTTTTGAGGCATTGGAGAATGGAAGTGCTTTATGTTACTTTAGGAATACCCATTAAGAGGCAGTGTGAAGCACTGATTATTACTGCAGTATCAGCAAGATTGCAGGGATGCAATTTTGTACACAACTTTTGCTATATCACCACTGACCAGGGATGGATTTCTTCACTTCTATACAATCTCTTTGGTGGAAGAGTCAGAAAAGGTGGGCAACAATTTCAATAAAGATTTATTACATGATGGCTATTCTGCTGCATTTTCCACCCCCATTGCATTATTTGCAACAAAGGATTTCATTTTTATCCTTTCCTGAAGAAAGTGTAACAGAACACATAGTTCTGTTAACACTGACAAGAAAACCCCACAGATACAGTCACTCAGAGTAGAGCTCAATTCAATGGTGTCATTACCTTATTACCACAATTACTGTATCACAATCTCTTAACAAAGTAAAGAGCAAAAGAGATTGAAAATACAGTGGTACCTCAGTTCACGAACTTAATTCGTTCCACGATTCGGGTCGCGAGCCGAATTGGTTGCGAACCGAATCAAATTTCCCCATAAGGTTCAATGTAAATAACGTTAATCCATTCTGAACCATATGTATC